CTGTCGCCGGTGGACGCTAGTAGACGCTCCGCCGTTCGCTACATCGATATCTGTTCTTTCCGCTGACGGAAGCTCGAAACGCTAATGAACGCTGGTGGCCGCTGCCACAAAGTATGAACGCAGCCTAAGGTGGAAAACGGTGAGCTTGAACCTTTACACTGCTTCCCGTTGTGAGCAGCGCCACAAGTGCATCCAACCTTCACACTATTCTGAATCAAAATCAGGTGCATGACGTACCCCGAACTAAATGATCAATATCCACCGCTGCTCATCTCTTATACTTCTCGTTTAGCTGAGCTAGGCGCCCTACTGACAACTGCAAAGCAAAAAATATTACACCAGTCGAACCAAAAAATCACAAAGGAATCACGGAAAAAAATTAAAAAGAATAATAAATAATTTACTACTGCGGTTAAAAACGATCAGCGCAAAAAAAGAACACAAAACCATTGAAAATGATATGATGAAAGTGCACTACGAACAGTTATTGGGGTAACAAGTGAACCTGTGCGGGTAGAAATCAACCGACAGGTGTGATCACAGAAGAACAAAGCCATTATCACGCTCAACAATTGCAACTCACTGCGCGTCACCGTTATGACTATAGTTGGAGCCATTATAAAAAATTCATTTTTGAAGAAAATCCATAGTGTATTCAGATCATACAACAATATGTGTATGTGTGTGTAATGTAACGAAAACTACGCTCATTTAAATATGAAAGAATAGATTATGAGGCTAAACACTCAAGTCAACTATGGCCATTACCTTATTTGGATCAAGTGCTCAGCAATTCGAGTGACAAAAGGTAGGGAACACTGGCCGGCCTTCATTTACAAATGACTTCAAATTTTCATGCACCGAGATGATAATGGAATGTGAAAGTCATTTTCAAGCATCCGACAATGTAAGTTTTAATTATCGCCTCGAAGCTTCTCCCAAATAAGCTAAAGTGAAGCGATTCGCTTAATCTAGACCCGGAAATCGGTTAACTTCTCCTTGAATCTTCTGAGACATTCCCTTAGACATGTAGAGCGCCCTGGTGCGCATTCGCAACTGAAAGTAATTGCATTAAAACGTAGGAACAGATCACAGTAACACACCCTCTCTGCTGTCAGAAAATTCAAATTTTCGGGCGCTGTTCGCTTTACGGGACGGAGCGGAGCATGCTCGGTTCGCATCGACATGGAGACCCGTAAACTTTTGTGAAGCTGAAGCAGCGTTCAGACTTCGCGATGACGCGCGTCGACGCGCTGTAACGTGCGACGACGCGTTACAATTACAACAGCGCTAGACGCGAAAGCACCTGCGGAAGGCCAGTCCCGGTCGATATCCGTCTGCGCGACTAGGCAGCGCCTACCAATATCCCCCATACTCCCACGAAACAAAAACGGCCGGCGCGCCGAGGGCGGGAATCGGCGGCTGAATTCGCTTCTACTGCTTTGAAGCGCTGTTGCAATTGCAGCGCGTCGTCACGCGTTAGAGCGCGTCGATTGCTTATAGTGGCTGCAAAGTCTGAATCGCTGCCTAATACAGCTATAGTATAGTCGAGTTCAGTAGCTATTTAGCAAATTTCGGGGCGTTCACATGTCCCGCTGGCTGTAGAAGCTGCGGCCTTCAAGCTGAGCCAGCGCGTCCTCCACCAGCTGCGGGTTGCCTGCCAGCTTCCACAGTTAAGTCATCCATGATCCTCACAAATCATCAGGGCTTGTGACGGGACGTGGATTGGAGTGCTGCCAAGGCGGCCTTTATATCAATGGTGCCATCCTAAGTCCACAACAACAGTCCGGGAAGGGCTGTTTTGGCAGCGAGCCAACTCACCCCCTTTTACACGCCCAGTCATTTTCAGGGATCATGGGTAGCCTTTCCTAGTGAACTCACTCACTAGATTTTGAACCAATCCAGTTAGATTCAAGTCACAACATAATCTCATTTGAAAAGCCCGTGATAAAAAAATCCACTTACAGGTGCCCCTGACGATGATATCCTTGTAATTTTCATTTCTTGAACAATTGTGGATCCACCCATTGGTTCCAAGACATTTGAGTTCGGCGGTTCAAGCTCTATTGTGAACGACTAGAAAAAATAACGTGAGGATTTTACGACATCTACCTGGTGGCAACAGCAAATACCTACATTAACAACGAAACAGTGAAATAGTACCAACCTTGGTGACTGCAGCTTGGAAGGCGAATTCCCGAACCACTTCGGGTGTATTATTGGTTATTTCTACTCGGAGCTGGCATGTATCACCAGACCATCCACTACCTAACACCATTATGTGGGCTTCAATTCCTGCACTGTTCAGAGCAACGACGCGCTCATTTGGCGGGGGTCTGAAAATATCACGAAAATTAATGCTTTCAAAACGGTCCGTACACTTTAAAAAAACATAACTATTAAACTCGAGGACCACCTCTGATAGTAATTTCTCAAGCGAAATCATTAAGTTGATCAAAAAGTTATGATGGCATTTCAAGTTTTTACTTCATTTTTAAAAACCATAAAATGGAATGGGGAATCGTGTACAACTGGCACGCTTACCACGCGCACGGTCCAGGAATCGAGTCCCGGATCGACTCCCGCCCAGGCCAACCAAGCCTTCTACCCTGCCGGGACGGTAAATTGGTACCAGATTCGTCTGGGAGGATAAGAACACTGATCATACATCAACAGGCCTCCGCAAGTCATTGTATAGGTCCCACTGTTCGTGGGTTTCCTTAACTGAATGTGCTCTGGCATTAGGAAGGAGGTGCACTAATGTCTGCCTTGTCCGCTTTTCCCAAATAGCTTCCGCGAGTTCCTAAAGCTTGGTGGCGTAAATGGCAGTTGTGAGTGCGTGCTTTTGGGAGAGCAGCTCACAGCTTCTTCCCCCACCCCCTCCCGCTCCATGTGTCCCCAAAGCGAAAGCGAAGGTTTTAATGAGGCGCACGTCCGGTTTGGCTTGCGTAGGCGGCTCCTTCTCCAGACAGTCAGACGTTACGGTATGTGTAGAGGACGTGGGAGATCCAATTCTAATTCAAGGTAACCAGGTCTTTTGAAAATCCCTTACCACGCGAACGGAGAAGCAGAGACTGGCAGACGATTCAGGTGAAACAAGAACCATCCGTCAAGAAGCGAGCAATCTATCGAGTCAGCGCTTTCGCTTGCCGAGGGTTTTCGTCTTTCCAGTTGACGAGTGTCCATTGAGTACACCCGAGTGCTGCTGCTGGACCAAAGATTGTGAGTTCCGGACTCTCTCAGACAGCTTCGAGACCAGCGGAGTCTTCCACTATGTGGGGAATCCCAACCGAGTTTGTTGCGTCCCCCTCAAAGCGAAGCGAGCAAACCAACGGTGGACAGTGAGACGGCAGTAGTGTCCTTCCTTAATGCGCTGTTGATGTTACGGGTTCTGCCGTCGCTACAGTGCCGCCACTCATGGAAAATGGTGGCTGGCTCGAAACTACCCTTATGAACTTGACAGCGCATTAAGGAAGGACACTACTGCCGTCTCACTGTCCACCGTTGGTTTGCTCGCTTCGCTTTGAGGGGGACGCAACAAACTCGGTTGGGATTCCGCACATGGTGGAAAACTCCGCTGGTCTCGAAGCTGTCTGAGAGAGTCC